GCTTTGTTGTAAGTTTCTTTTACGCTTATTTTTTTTTAAATTTTCAGTTTTTGCTGGCCGTCCTACCACTAATCTACTACTGCCTCTAGTCACTCCAGGTCTTCGTCGACTTATTGATGTAGGTTGAACTCGTATTTTAGATTTATCAGCATGACGAAGAGAAATCTGTTTCCCACAAGTGGACAAAAATGTTTCCCAAGAATTTTTGGTTTTGACATTTCCTAGTTTTTTCAAAAACATATTTAAAGATTCATTTGTGGATCCAAATTCGTCATTTTTGTGAATCATTAAATCTACAACACTTTGAAAGTCTTGTTGTACAGGTTTTAACACCGTATTTGTTATTAAGTCTGGTTGTTTTTCATCTATAACAACCTTACTTATATTATTTGTATTATTTGCATCAATAATTTCACTATTATTTTCTTTAATCTCTTCTTGAGCATTTAACGAATTATAAAATGATAGAGGTTGAACTTTGTCTCCAAATGCTAAAACAGCCATATTATATCTACATTTAGCTGTAACTGGTGGTGCATTAGGTAGTTCTCTACTAAAAAAAAAATATACTGCTGCTTGGTGTTTACAAAAGGTCCCCAAATGACCTTGATAGCAAGTACAATACCCCAATGTTGCATTTACTTCATACATTTCTGTATCTTTTTCACTCGGTACTTTATACATATTATTTTCCAATGATTCAATCATATCAATCGTTAGATACTTAATTTTTTTTTGTAATGATATTAAAAATAAACGTGATACATCACAACGACTATTACAAAACTTTCTTATTCTGCGAATATAATAATGCTCCATTACAGTACTTGTGAAATCCACTAACGAAACCACATTATAAGCTTTATTTCTGGATAAAACTATATCTTTATATATTCTGACACATACCTCGCTGAAATTGTTGGTTTGGTGTCCATGGGTTTCAAAGTTTCTATAACATAAAACCCATATTTCCTTACGCTTCCAATATAAATCTATGTAGTTAACCCAGTTGGGATACTTGGCTACATTAACATTATTGCTGTCTATAGCATTTAAATAAGCGACTTCAGCCATTTCTACACTTAATGCCGTTAATATTTTATTAAACAATGCATACAAAACAGGGCGATCTAACTTTTCAATGATATTTTCATTACCCCATAACCACCTCCAAACAGATTGACATATGTGGAAACGACACAGTAACTGCTTTGACTGTGGCCATACAGATTGTAATGCCTGTCTTTCTGCTTCACTGTCATCTGTTATGAATACTTTTGGAAAACATTGACCAGCAAATCCATCAGGACCAACACAAGTCTTAACTAATTCAAATCCAATTTTATAATCATTCATTGACTGACCTTTGGTGATAATTACAGCTAATGGAACAGCACCAACAGCACATGGTGTAAGCATGAATGTAATAGAATGATTATTTGCATCACATGATGCTGTACTATCAGAGAATACTATGTCTTTTGAATAAGGTAGTTTATGTGCACGTTGCATCAGTGGTGTACAAATAACAACAGCAAATGGTTCTTCGTTAATTAAAATTTTTACTCCTTTTTCTTCATATGAGCCTTTTTTTGACTGAAGTTTCTTCAATAAAAATACAAATATTAGTAAAATCATAATAATTGATAGTAACTAATAGATAATTGTAAATAGGTACCTATTAAATAATAATAAATACCTACCTCTATTACGCCCTCCCCAATTCTTGGGCATAGATTAAATTCTCTCCATACATTATGCTAATGCTGAACGGTTCTGTACTTTGGGTTTAGAGATGCATCGGCAATAACATATTCATCACCTTCTAACTCTAGCTTACCTTCATGAAATGTCATTGAGTCAGTTATTCCTAAATAATAAACAATGAGATAAATTATACCTACATAGTTAAGTACAATTTGAAACTTTAAATTAAAAAATAAAATAATTAATTTGTAAAAACTAATACTTAACTAACCGAGTCCATCATTAAAGTAAGTTTCAAATAACTGCCTTGTATCAGGAATACTTCTTAAGTTACCTAACGCATCAGCTGTGTCTAGTGTATGAGAATGATTCATACAAATATAAATTTCAGCAATCAAATCCTTTTAAATATTGAACAAACAGTAATAACAATCAGAATTATTAAAAAAATTAAAATGTATTTTTGCATTATTTAATATTTATTAATATTTTTTAAATAAATAATAATGCTAGTTTTTAATACTTAATATATTAAATACCTACATTTCTAAAGATATATTAGCTATTTAGTTTTATAACATTGTTCAGAAATAGCCTTTATTTATTTTCTTATCTTAATATATTTATGCATTTTTTTAGTGTTTTCTGTACACTTTTTAACTTTTATGGATATATTTGCTTGACAGTTTAAGTTTTTTGATTTTCCTCTCTTATTTAGAACAGACACAACTTTTTTAAAACTACTATGATGACATACATAATCTTTTCTGAAAATCAATAAAAATATATAAAGTTACATTGTTATATATATATTAAATTTACCTACATATTCAACTTACTTGCAAACAAATCGTTGTAACCGATACCAATAAGTTTACAAAGAGGTAACAGGTTTGAGGTTAATGGTAGGAAGAGCAGCAACAAATGAAAATCGAATTAAAATTTCATACAAAAAATTATGTAAAAAAAATTCACAGTAAAACAATAAAAATCAACCGAATATAAAATCACATTAACTTGTACTGTTAAAAGTACTTAAACGATTATATATACATATAACACACTGTACATACTCATTTAATTTAACTTCATAGACGCAAATAGGTGAGGAGCTGGGAGACTTAGCCCTCCCTAGAATTTCTAAAAAACTAATGATTTCACTACTATAATTTAAAAACATAAGAGTATCACGTATAAACATGAGCTACAGCCCCCCCCCCCAAATTTCAAACACTATTTACACTTATGTATGACTCATACATATATTTATTACTTGATAACCATACATTATGCAAATTAACAACCAACAATTACTTATTAGAATAAAATATAGTACCCACACAAATAGTGTAAGAAAATCAAATCAGACACAAAATGTTACATTGTGACAAATATTATGCATACCAACATATTTAACTTATTTAATCTTATTAAAAAACATTGGTCATCCCTTTTGGTTAACAACCTAACTTAAAGACCTAACTAAAAAGAAGTTTTAAAAACGCTGTTAAATTATTATGAAGGTTGTGTAAGCCATATTCAGTGAGATATTAATATCATACTATAATATTTTAATTTTAATAAAATGGGTTTTTGTAAAAATGGTTTCTAACAATAGTGGAATGAAGGTGTTTTCTAGGAAGCGAGTCAAAGCATATTATGGGGGATCGAATACCTATATCATAATGGAATCGAATGTTAATAGTGTCATTTTTTTTTCAGATTTATATTTTATGAGCTTATTTTCTTGAGTTTGTAAAATAAAAATTACAAATTATTGTATTATTATTTATTACTTATTAAATTAACACTCACAATCCAACAATCAAGGATAAATTAGTAAGTACTAGGTAGTATTAGAAAATCAAATTAGACATAAAACAGACATATATTTTACCAACATATTTAACTTACTTGCAGACAAAACGTTGTCCTTCCTTTTTAGTATTTCTAACCACCCAACTTATTTTTGTTTTTTCTGAAAACTCATCTACCCATTTTTGGCATGAATCAAAATCTTTAATATTAGATCGAATCTCATATGCCTCATTTTTGCAGCATACAATTTCATTAATACATGACGTAGAAAGATGTTTATAATATATCATTTTAATTACCTAATATGCCAAATCTATTACAATTTCAAAGTCAAACCAAAAAATCAAAAAGCAAGAAAGAAACTCAAAATTTAAAAAGTTAAAAACTATTATTGCAAATTGTATATTTTGTTGATAACAGATATATAACTAGGTATGTGATAACATAAAACTATTAGCGCGGGAAAACAAGTCGATTTGAACCGACCAATGAGAATTATGCTGGTGCCGAAATCATGTACGTTTTGTTAATATGCATCCCGGTGAGATCGGGCATCAAGCAGGGGTGCCCGCTGAGTGGTCTCCTTTTTATTATAGCTATCGACCCGGTTGTAGCGCTCCTGCAGGGAGAGTCCGTCGACCACTGGGTGCTTGCGTTAGCGGATGACTTGTGCCTCATAGCCGACAGCCCGGGAGAGCTCCAAGCGACCATCGACGCAGCCCACAGTGGCCTGGACATTGCTTGGGCTCCGGCTCAATGCGGCCAAGTGCGCGTCGCTGCACCTGTCTTGTGCATGGCTGGTGTGTGTCCGGGACACGCAGTTCCTGCTGCGAGGTTCCCCCTTTGTCCGCTTACCGAGGGCGAAGCGGCCACCTTCTTCGGCGCCCAGGTCGGGTTCCACCTTTGTCCACCCTAGCTGAGATCATCGCCATCGGTCTGCGCATTGCCAGGAGCAAACTCGCGCCCTGTCAGCGGATCGATGCGCTTAAGACCCTTTTTTTACCCCTCAACCGTCCATTTACAGTGGTTGGGGACATTCCCGAAAACGGATTGGGCTAGGGTGGACAAGATCCTGCGGCCGGAAATCAAGGCGACACTGTACCTACCGCAGGAGGCGTCGGGGGAGTACCTATACGGATCCACCAAGCGACGCTGCTGCGAAATCCGGCTCCTCGCCGAGGACTCCGACATCGCCGCTGTAAATAGTGGGTTCAAGCTAGTGTCTTATCAGTTACATCTAATACGTTTTCCCACAATGTTTATAAATAAGTCTGTGGCCAGGATACCAGCGGCTGTAATATATTGTACGAGGCGTGTCCAGAAAGTAAGTGTACTGAGGCTCTCACGGCCATAGGTAATATTTTTTTACTATGTTGGCTACACTGCCGTATAGCGTTACTCCTAACCTTTAAAACAAGACCAGAACGAGTTCAGTACGTTGTAAACTGTAGTCTCACGAATTTTTCTTGTTAAACATGTCGATCGAGTCTGCCGCCAAGTGCGAAATCCGCGCCGTTATCCGTTACCTTGTTGCGAAGGAAAAATCTCCACATGAGATTTTTAATGAGGTACGAACCGTTTATGGTGAAGGCCATATGAATCGTACCAGTGTATACAAGTGGTGTAGGGAGTTTAAAAACGGCCGTACGAATGTACATGACGGTCTGAGGAGTGGGAGACCGTCGATTTTGACTGACGACATTGTGAAAAAAGTCGAGAATGCGGTTCGTGACGATCGCAGATTGACTCTGGATGAACTTTCTGCAATGTTTCCGCAACTGTCAAGGTCTCTGCTCCACGAAACAATCACAGAAACACTTGGATTTCATAAACTGTGCGCAAGATGGGTTCCAAAATAGCTTACTGAACAACACATGTTGAATCGAGTGCAAGCCTCTAGAGAGTTTTTGGAACGCTATGCACTGGACGGTGATAATTTTCTCAAGTCTATTGTTACTGGAGATGAAACTTGGGTTGCACACTATACACCTGAAACTAAGAGACAGTCCGAACAGTGGCGTCACACCACTTCACCCTCAACCAAAAAGTTCAAAACCACCATTTCAGCCAAAAAAATCATGGCATCAGTGTTTTGGGACCACAAAGGCATCATTTTGATTGAATATTTACCTCAGGGGGAGACCATCAACGCAGCAAGATATTGTGAGACCCTAAAAAAATTGAGGAGAGCTATTCAAAATAAAAGGAGGGGTCTGTTAACGAGCGGAGTCTGCCTGCTGCACGACAACGCCAGACCCCACACGGCCAATGTCACGAAGCAATTGTTGGACTCATTTGGATGGGATGTTTTGAACCACCCCCCGTATTCCCCCGACCTGGCGCCTTCAGATTACCATTTGTTCACTTCCCTGAAGAAGCACATGGGTGGAAAAAAATTTTCAGCTGACGAGGAAGTGAAGGGGGCGGTCGACAAGTGGACAAAGGAGATGGCGGCAGAGTTCTACGAGGCAGGCATAAAAAAATTAATCTGCCGTCTCACAACCTGCATTGAAAGAAATGGTGACTATGTAGAAAAATAGCCCACAAATATATTAATGTAACCACGTTATTTTTTTTTTTTAATAAATTTTTTTGAAACCTACAAAAATTCAGTACACTTACTTTCTGGACACGCCTCGTATAATAGATATTATTATATTAATGTCTAATTACAGTGTAGTTCATTCATAATACCTTTAGTATAACTGTATAAGCAACTGTTTTCATTATGGAAATCGTCAAACCCATAAGGTTTGTAAATTAAAAAAAAAAATTATTTATCAAATTGGTTTATAGAATACAGTAAGTTCTCGTTACAACGAACTCCAAGTGACCGAATTTTTTTTTTCGTTATAACGGAAATTTCGTTGTAACGAAACTTTGAAAATTCGAATAAAAACAAACTCAAAAACATTATGTACATACATATTAGGGTGGTCCTTATTTTTTGAATTCAAAAATTTGATGAGGAGTACCCCAAATTTTGTTCTATATATTAAAAAAATAATAATGATAAAGTTTGAGCGTGATAAGTCCACCCCTTCCCGTGCCTCAAAGGGGTTGAAGTTTTAGAAATTGGGGATGAATTACCATTTTTTTCGTTTACTCTCTTAAATATTGATGTTACGCAAAAAACTTAAAGCACTAATATTGTAGCTATATATATTTACTAAATAAAAGTTTCTTATATATATGTTGTGAGGTTGATGGTTTCTCGTTAATTTAAAAAAAACTACTACCTTATGATGTCGGATCTTGAGTATACATTGGAAAATGTTGTATAAGACGTATAGTCATATGCGCTGCTACATCAATCACAAATTGAACTTAAATCCACTTCATTGACAGGGACGATTCGCCTTATTTTTTTTTTTTTTGTAAATAAATAATTTTAATTTTGTTTTTACGATATATCAATATTTTTGGTGACGGTACATCGATATTTGCTCTCCGATAGTATATTATTTACACTATTAGCTGTGTATTTTTAGACTACGAAACCACAAACACATTAAATATTTGACTATAATACTTATCGCATTTTTATCTACATTCTACATGCTATATATTTTTTTTTTTTTGCACATGTTTCATAATAAACTCAATAAGTTGTCAGTTAATCTGTCGGTTTGTTTAGACGTTCAGTGATTGAAATATTGTGTTATAAGATAGTGCGACTTTTCTACACAGTGTTATACGTTTTTTTTAGTTTTTACGTTTGATTTAAAAATGTCACGTCAAAGTATTTTCATTATAGGTAATTTGGTCAACCAAATTACTGGAAATAAATTACCTTCCAATGGAGACTGCCTTCGGGTATTATTTTATAATATGCGCGTTGTAAATTTAAATTTAAATGATAGTTCGGTCCTTGTTGCTGATGAATGTTTATTGTTTTGGAAAAAGGCAAGAATACCTACTCAATATCATTGTGATATAGTTCGTAAAATAAAAAAATCTATATGAAAGTTGGCGACGTTTAGATAAAAATAAAACAAGAAATTCTGCAACACAGCAGTACAATGAAAAAAAATTTCAAAACTCGTTGAATAATTTGTTTGATATTGCCCACAAAGATGCATTAAATATAATTAAAATTGAAGAAGACAGGCAGTTTTTAAATTTACAAAGACAAGAAGGTCGTGTTGGGTATATGGCAGGTGTGGACAAAAAATTATGTGCAGTTGAAGAACGAAGATCTGAACGAGAGCAAAGGAGAGAATTGCTTAAGCAAACAAATATCGATTATGGAACCGGGTAAATTAATTTCGTCATTAAAAAAAAAAAAAAATAGTTTATCTAATGATAATAACTAATAAGTCATCATCATTTTTATTATGAATAACATTAATTTACCTAATATACAATATAAAATTGACTATATCTATTATTTTATTTGTATTATTATTTTTTTCTTAGCCCATCCAACAGTGTTGATGTTGAGGAAAATATAACAAGCGATGATGAACGTGATATGCATAACTCTGAAGATTCCGACACTTGTGAAAGTATAACAATTATGCCTGTGAAAAATAAACGTGGTAGGAAAGAAATTATGACAAGTCGTTTAGCATCAGCTTTAGACAAATGTAAGGTTAGTGACAGGGATGCAGTTCACTTATTAATAGCATGTGCCGAGGTATTTAAAGTAGATGTAAAAGACTATGCAATAAATCGCTCTTCAATTAAAAGATCTCGTGAAAGTTTTCGTTACCAAATATCTTCCGAAATTAAAACAGCATTCCATCAATTAAATTTAAATTCTGTAGTTGTTCACTGGGATTCAAAAATACTTCCTAATTTGACTGGAACAGAAAATATAGACAGATTACCAGTTATTATAACAGCACCAAATGTAGAACAACTTCTTGGAGTACCACATTTGTCATCTGGTACTGGAAAGGAAATTTCTTCTGCAGTGTATGACACATTAAAAGATTGGCATTTGTTGGAAAAAGTGCAAGCGTTTGTTTTTGATACAACAGCATCCAACAGCGGCAGATTAAATGGATCATGTGTGCTATTAGAACAAATGTTAAACAGGCCAATACTGTTTTTAGCTTGTCGGCATCACATATTTGAAATTATTTTGCAATCAGTTTTCTCATACTCAAAACTTACAATAATGTCCGGTCCCGAAATTCCTATTTTTAAGCGTTTTAAAAATAACTGGAATCAAATAGATCAAACTAAATTTAATACTTGGGTAAGTGATAATGAGGTCAAACAAATATTGCATAAAATAACCGATGATGTTATAGTATTTTGTAAAGATGCTTTAAACCAAAATCTACCAAGGGATGATTATAAAGAATTTTTGGAATTGGTAATAATTTTTTTGGGTGGGATACCACCTAAAGGTATTAATTTTAAACGTCCAGGAGGATATCATCTAGCTAGATGGATGTGTAAGGGTATATATTGTTTGAAAATATATATATTTCAAGAACAATTTAAAATGACAAAAGCTGAAATTTCTTCATTAAAAACTATATGTTGTTTTATTGTAAAATGCTATGTAGAGTTTTGGTTTAGGTCACCTAATGCCATTGAAGCACCTTATAACGATGTACTTTTTTTAAGAAAACTTGAAGACTATAAATCCGATGATAAACAAGTGGCTGAGCTCGCTATGAAAAAATTTATTAATCATTTATGGTATCTTGGAGAAGAAACCGCTTGTTTTTCGTTATTTGATGACAGGATTGATAATCATGTAAAAAAATAAATGGCTAAAAAACTATTAGAATATGACGAGTTTGAGGACGACGAATTTAACACGGAAATACAAAAAAAATATGTATTAAAAATTGGCGATGTCTCACAATTTCTAAAACAAGACTTACCACTTGAATTATTGACGCCTAAATCGAAAAATATATTCCGAAGGTTCCAACTAAGCACGGAGTTTTTATATCAAAATCCGGAAAATTGGCCAAACATCGAAAGTTATACAAAGGCCAAGAATATTTTACACCATTTGAGAGTCATAAATGATGCAGCCGAACGTGGAGTCAAATTGATGGAAGATTTTAATACAAAATTTACAAAAAATGAAAACCAAAAGCAGTATGTATTGAAGGTAAGTTAAATGTTAATTATTAACCAAGATAACTAGTGTCAACTAATTTTTTTTTTAGGTAGTACAAGAATACCGTAAAAAATATCCAAGCCATAGCAAAGATATGTTGACGAAAGATGCAACAAAATAGGCAGTTAATATATTTCTCTCTCTTTTTTTTAATGTAAAATGTTTAAAATTAATTAATAATAACAGTAAGTATAGAAATGTTATTTTTCTATTTTATTTAAAAAATGTTTATATTTGAAATATTGTCAAGAAACTTTTTTAATACACCATAGTATGTTCTATAACAAAATTTGCGTACGATTTTTGGGTAACTTTAAAATTTAAGAGATTAGAGGTCAAAAATTACAAACATAACATTTCCTAAAACGGTAACCAGTTTTTTTTAAATTAACGAGAAACCATCAACCTCACAACATATTTATAAGAAACTTTTATTTAGTAAATATATATAGCTACAATATTAGTGCTTTAAGTTTTTTGCGTAACATCAATATTTAAGAGAGTAAACGAAAAAAATGGTAATTCATCCCCAATTACTAAAACTTCAACCCCTTTGAGGCACGGGAAGGGGTGGACTTATCACGCTCAAACTTTATCATTATTATTTTTTTAATATATAGAACAAGATTTGGGGTACTCGTCATCAGATTTAAAAAAAAAAAAATTGACCTCTATAGCTAAGGACCACCCTAATACATATGTATAATTCAAATACAAATATGTATGTAATAAATAAATAATTCAAATGTAAATTTTTTTGCGGAAAAA